GGGTCACGTGGCCTGCGGGGATCACGTGCCTCTGCTCGTTGCGGCGGAGCAGCGCGCTGCGCTCAGCTCTTCTCCCTTCTTGCTTCTCCCGACGGCTGCAATGAATCCGTTCTTCCTTTCAGGAGCGCTGCGTGCTGGAACAAAGTTCGTCTCGTTCCTCCGGACGCTTTGGTCTCTCATCGTGTTCATCGTTTGCAGTTTGGGAGTTGTAGGGATATGGAACCAGTTCCTGGCACTGCTGGAGATCTCTGCCTGGCAGCCGTCCCTCCCGCTGCGAGCAGCCGATCTCACACGCAGCTCCGTGCTCAGGCTGCTTTCCGGGTTCTCTGCTCAGTTCTTTACGCCCGTTTGGAATGCCGAATCGGGGATCGCGTTGTCCATCCTCCTGAATGTCTTCCTCTCCATCCTTCTCATCTACTTCGTGTGCAAGAAGTCTCCTAAAGCAGAGAATGCTGAGCGGCAGCAAGAATGGGGAGGCTTAGGACAGGACTTGGGGGCGTCGGGACCCCCGGCGTCATCGCATGTGGAACAGAGAGGAGAAGAAGAAGAAGTGGAAGAAGTGGAGGAAGATGCAGGGCAGGGACCGTCATCAACAGCACCGCCATCGAGAGCAGCAGCGGAAAGAGCTGAGAGCCACGGAGAGGAGAGTGAGGAGGAGGAATTCGCTGTTAGCACTGCTCGCCCAGCTCGGGAGGTGACTGAATTCCACGGCTCAAGAGAGGAGTTTGTACGGCACCCAAACGAAGCTGTTGTCACCTGGCTGCTTCGCTGTTGGGACAGCGGGGCCAGCAGCGTGCTTCTAGATGGAAACGGGGCTCGCCAGCTGGGCAGCATTGCCGGAGACTCAGCTATTGACAGAGGGATCAGTAGATGTCTGCGCGGAGTCACCACCCTCTGGGAACGAATGTTACTGGCCGTGAAGGAAAGGCATCCCTTCAAAGATGATCTGGAGCCTGAAGTGAAAAGGTGGAAGACTCTTAAAGAAGGTATCCAGTATTTGAGAGAGACGGCCGTGGTGGAGATGTTGTGTGACCCCATGTTCGTCCCCAATGATCCACGCCCGAACCGCCGTGATCCTGAGAATGTGAGGATCACGTCAGATGTTGTGTGGAATCTCACAAGAACAGCACCAGAAAGGTACCTGGGTGTGCTGGCATCGATGTCCCATAGGTACGAGAAGCAACAGAGGAGGCCCCCCGTGTTTGAACTGATTATTAGACTTCAGATCTTTGAACAACAACTACTTCTATTCCACGGTTACGTTTCAGCCACCTCAGAAATAACAGAAAGAATGGATAAAGCAGAGAAGAGGATGGATAAGGTGGCAGGTAACAAGGAGAGGAAACAGGGCGGCATGCCAGAGGAAGCGTCCCTGTCAGTGAATCGTGGTGAACCTGTGGCAGGGTCAGAAACAGCCAACGAAGATCAGGACCTAACGAGTCTGCTGAAGGAGCTGATCACACTGATTAAAAGTGATGAACCCTCCTCCTCACCTGCGCCACCCAAAATCTCAGCTATCAATGGCAAACGCTCTCCCATGCAAGCAAACGACAGCAGTAGATGTATGGCACGTGCTGCCTTGTGGAGTTACTTACGTGAGCATGGAGAAGACATGAAGGAGTGGCGTAAAAAACCCACGGCTGCGCTCCGAGCTCGGGTGAGAGAATTACAGCAGAGATCAACCAGCGTGCGACTGCTCCACTTACTGCAGGTAAGCAATGGGGGGCCCTGCCCTCAGGCGGGGGGAAGGGATGATTTGTACCTCGTTGGGCCCGTGGGACCTCGGGCCATCAGGGAGGGGATGCAGCATAGAAGTGGGCTGCAGACTGAGGGGTGGACTGAACTACGGACGCTATTGCACAGCTGATTCGTGGCCGTGACACACGTGCTGCAATTCAACAAGGCAAGGGGATAAAACCTCTGATGGGAGAAGGCGATGGCAAAATATGAATATGGGGAGGCGTGGCAGGTTGACTCCTTCACCTTGTCACGAACCCATAAAGGTAAGCGTTTTGTGCTCACCGTGGTGGAGGCAACCACTGGTGCTGTGAAACGTCTGCAGTACCCCATGCTGGCGCCCGAAACACCAAGTGGGGTCTGGAGAAACAAGTGCTGTGGTGACGTGGCAGTGCAGGGAGAATGGAGTCAGATAACGGGGCTCATTTCAAACATTCCCTTGTGGATATTTGTGCCAAAGACGATGGCGCTGAGTGCATTTATCACATCCCCTGTCATGCACAGCTTCTGGTAAGATCAGACGCTGCAATGGGTTGTTCAAAACCACGTTGAAAGCAGCGGGTGGTGGAACATTGCAGCTCTGGGAGAAGCATTTGGCAGAAGCCCCCTGGTTGGTCAGTACCGGAGGATCTATTGATCGTGCTGGCCCTAGCCCATGCAGCTCCCTGCGTGCTGCACGGGGAGATGAGGTCCCTGCAGTGCATGTAAAGAACGCGCTGGGCAAAGCGGCTGGGGGCCTTCCAGCCTCCGGAAAGGGCAGAGCTGTCCGTGGGGCTGTTTGTGCTCAGGGTGCAGCTGTGGGTGACGGGAATGGGGCTGTGCAGTGCGCACCAAGGGAATGCGCTGCTGAAAGGGGGAGCGCGGCCAGGATCCCACGTCTGCGTGTGCGTTTAACGCGAGTTAATTGTCGTTTGTCAACATGAGGCGGTGCTGTGGGATCAGGGCTGCAATGTGACGGCTCTGCGATGTTCGTTATCAGGGCTCCACATCACAGCGCCGTGCAGCGCAGCGGCAGTGAAGGAGTTCGGGCCGCAGTTCCGGCACGGCGGATATTTGCGGCTCTGCGGGGCGCAGAGGAGCCGAACTGCAGCTCCCAGCGCCGGCCCCGCTGCGCTGCTCCGCCCGGAGGGAAGGCGGCGCGGCTCCGAGTCACGTGACGGCGCGGCTCCGAGTCACGTGACGGCGCTGTCTGCCGCCGCTCCGCCGGCTCCGGGCGCTCGTTGATTTCATTCATCAGCCGCAATCCCAACTCACTTCTGTTTCTGCTATTAGCACCCGTTAATTAACTTTCCTTCTGAGATGGTGGACCCTGGTTTTCGTTTCCTTCTTTTCCTCTTTGTTCCCTCCCTGGTTTTGGCCCTGAGGCTCTGCTGTCCCGGTGCCGCAGTCCCAGACGGATCCAGAGATGACTCGGTGACGGTCAGTGCTGGCCCAGGGGCTGCATGCATCCTGGGTATGGATTACCTCGGGAGGGTGAAAGGTGAGACGGGCCCCATAAGTGAAAGTCAAAAGGCAAGAAGGCTTCACAGTGACTGAGAATAAGGGGGTGAAGGGGAATAGTTAGAGATAGTTGATAGAGCAGGAATGTAGAGAAGAAACCGGTTTGGGGGATGCCCCCCCTGAAAGGCCAGGAGTTGACAGCAAAAATGGTCAGAAGCCTTTGCAAGGAAAACAACAAATCTTCATCCCACGACCCGCTATCCACACACAAGAGGGGAGGGTGTGCACACTAATGAACTGTCGGGGTGTAATGAATATGGATCCGAATCCAGGGAAAACTATTGATTATGTATTAGTTTCGCCTATATCTGTAGCACGATTTCTCTAGACGGTGTGCAAGTCAGGCGGATCGATGCCCCTTGCACCCAGTGTCTGCGCAGCACTGAATAAACCACACCTGCTTGGTAATCTTACAATCTTGGGTTACAGAGTTTGATTCCGCACATCAAGGGGGCATTTCAAGGATCCCAAGGGGTATCGATGGGCCTTTGGAGGAGCTGCTGCAGACGCACACAAGGTGAAGCAGCTGTCTGTTCTGCCTGGCCTGTCAGAAGATCCGTCTGCTGTGGGGTTGCTTCGGGTAAAAGAGCAGCAGGTGCCGACTGCCACAAAAACAGTGCGCAGACGGCAGCACCGCACCAACAGGGACTCCTTGCTCCCCGTTCCTGAGTTGATTCGTCAGCTAGAGAGTCAGGGAGTGATCAGCAAAACCCTCTCACCTTTAACAGCCCCATACGGCCGGTGCATAAAGCCAGTGGAGAATGGAGGCTGACGGTAGACTGCCATGGCCTGAATGAATCACAGAACTGCTCCGTTTGGAAAAGACCCCCAGGATAATGAAGTCCAACCCCCACCCAACCATCCTACCCCAACTCTAACTTCACCCACTAAATCATGTCCCTGAGCACCACATCCAAACGGGTTTTAAACACATCCAGGGATGGTGGCTCAACCACCTCCCTGGCAGCCCATCCCACTGCTTAACAGCCCTTTCCGTAAAGAAGTTTTTCCTGAGATCCAACCTAAACCTCCCCTGGCACAACCTGAGGCCATTTCCCCTCGTCCTGTCAGCAGTGAGAAGAGAGCAGCCCCGTCATCTTTCAGGTATCGGAAGAGAGCAGTGATGTCTCCCTCAGCCTCCTCTTCACCGGACTGAAGAGCGTCCGTTCCTTCGGTTGCACAAAGTCACACCCGCACTGAGTACAGAAGCGCGCTCCTGGGGCCCCGTCCGTACAGCGGTCAAACGACGGAAAAACGCCCCGCAATGAGGGGTAAGATCCCAAAGCCGTCCTTCCTTCGGCAGCGCGCACGCAGCGCCACACGGTGCGGCGCTCTGCGGAGATCCGCCCATAGGGGGAGCCGTGCGGTCGGCCGGCGCCGCACGACCGGACCGCGCGGTGCGGTGCCCCCCACCACTTACATCAATGTGCTGGGAGCAGCGGGAAACCTCCGTGTGAGCCGCGTCGGTAGGAGGGGACGGGAGGAGGGCTGAGGTGCGCAGAGCGGCGGGAACGGGGCACAACCGCTGGAGGCAGCCGCGCTCTGCCATTTCC